CACCTGGTCATAGCTCTCTGGTATCTCTGATATCTTCATCTGAGGCTTCCTTGTAGCCTTGAAGGCAAGTCCCACCAAGCTGGGATCCCTCTAAGTCACAACTATTTCCTGTGTATTTTGAATTTATTTGCCTGTGTACATATGTTCCTCCTCCTCCCAGGAGAATAGAAGCTGTGGGAGGGCAGGGGCTAGTTCATTTTTTGAATATTCAGGACCTAGTCCAGTCACCAGTGTCTTTATTTTTGTTGTTGTTCAGTCATTTTCTAGATGAGGAACTGAGGCAAACAGGGGTTAAGTGACTTACCTTTATAGTAGGCCCTTGATAAATGCTTTTTTTTTTTTAGGCAATTGGGGTTAAGTGACTTGCCCAGAGTCACACAGCTAGTAAGTGTCAAGTGTGTGGTCTGAGGCTGGATTTGAGCTCAGGTCCTCTTGACTTCAGGGCCGGTGCTCTATCCACTGTGCCACCTAGCTGCCCCCTTGATAAATGCTTGTTAAATGGAATTGGATAAATTTGAGCTAAAAGGGACCTTAGAGGTTGTTGACTCCAACTTCATTTTACAGATGAGGAAGCTGACGCTCAGAAGCTAATTGACTTGCCGAGGTCATGTAAGTAGTAAGTAGCAGAGGTGAGATGTGAATCCAGGTCTGCTGACCCCAAATCCAGGGCTCACTCCTGTGTATCACTCTGCCTAATCCAGGTGGAGGGAAAAAGATGCTATATTAGTCAGCTGCGGGCAAGCCTAGCTTGGTTCCAAGGAGGCTCATGACCATAGGATGAATTGTTTGGTAGAAATAATGAAAAAGTGTTTACTGAGGCATGGACTGATGCAAATCTGCTGATGGAGTTGGGGATCTTCTGAAAGACTGTAGTGACAAAATGGACTTCGATTTTATTGAGAGCTTTCTGCATTTGCTAAAGTGGTCCTTCCTTCCTTCCTTCCTTCCTTCCTTCCTTCCTTCCTTCCTTCCTTCCTTCAATCCATCCATCTCTACAGATGATAAGATGCTAGACGTGGGAGTCAGGAAGATCTGAATTCGAATCTTATTTCAGGCACTTAGTAGCACTGCAACTCTAGGCAAACTATTTCACCTTCTCAGCCTCAGTTTCCTCAGCTTTAAAATGGGTATAATGGGGCAGCTAGATGGTGCAGTGAATAGAGAACCAGCTCTGGAGTCACAAGGACCTGGGTTCAAATCTGCCCTCAGACACGTGACACTCAATAGCTGTGTGACCCTGGGCAAGTCACTTAACTCCAATTGCCATACAAAAAAAAAAAGAGTATAATAGCATGGTGCTTCTGAGGATCAAATGAGATAACATATGCAAAGGGCTTTGTGAACTTTAAAAAGCTACACAAATGCCAGCCATTATTATTATTTGCATTCATTCATCTATTCAACAAGCATTTGCCTGAGCTTACTATGAGCCAGGCACTGTGTTAAGTGCTGGGAATACAAAGGCAAGCGTGATACAGGTTTTGCCCTCTGGCCTCTTGTGGTGCCCCAGCAGGACTGGGAACTCAAGCCTTTAGAATCTCCTTCCTGAGCTCCCTCCTCACTATCGCTCAAAATTGGCCTCCCTGGTACTGCTAAATGCTGAGCCTGATACCATTGCTAGACCTATAACCTCATACTGATCCCTGGTCTGGCAACAGAAGGAAATGGAACTCTGCCTGCAGACTGACCCCTCTTAACAGGAGAGCCAGTGATGGACTTGGAGGCAGAAAGACCTGAGTTCAAATTCTGTTTGACACTTGTTAGCTCTGTGAGTCTGGGCAAATCACCTATTATTGTATTACAATATTACATATTATGTAATCTTGTAAAAATGAGAGGGTTGGGCTTTGCGGCCTCCAAAGTCCCTCCGAGCTCTAAATCTGTGATTCTACAAATTCCTCCCCCATACTAAGCCCTGATTATAGACCAACCCCTTAATTCTGGTGATGGGAATAGGATACAGATTTAGAACTAAAATAACCTTTAGATGCCAGCAAGTCTAGCCCTTTAACTTTCTTGATGAAGAGCCTGAAGTCCAAAGTTTGCCCAGGGTCACACCATACAGCAATTTCTTCAGTGGGATTAGAACTCTGATCTGCCTGAGCCTAGTGCAGCACCACATGCAGCCTTTGAAATCTCACCCTGTCTTCATACCGATTCTTTTTTTTTTTTAAAGTGAGGCAGTTGGGGTTAAGTGACTTGCCTAGAGTCACACATCTAGGAAATATTATGTGTCTGAGACCAGATCTGAACTCCGGTCCTCCTGACTCCAGGGCCAGTGCTCTACACATTGAGCCACCTAGCTGCCTCCTATACTGATTCTTCATTCTTGACCCAATGACTGATTGCACTCTGAGCACAGATGGTCCAATTTCTATCATCTCTGTGGGCGGGTCCAGGGTAGGGGCGCTGCTGTGAGAGCATGTGTAATAACTCAGAGCCAGTCCCTCGCTACCAGTGGAGAAACTCCAAAGCCCCAGCTCCCATCCACTCTAGCTCCACAACCCCCTCCCCCCTTCATCCCCATCCCTTCCAGCTTTCCAAGCCCATTTGTGACATGTAAACTGCTGCAGTTGTGACAATGTAGGCAAGAACGGGGCCAATTTTCATCAGAGACAAAAAAAAGAAGGTGTTTTGCATGAGGCCGGGCTGGGCTGAGAGGAGAACCTCATTAGCAGCGAGCTGCAGCCTGGACAATCCCCACATTTCTCATAATTAAGGGCCTCCGAACAAAGCTACCTGTGGCTCAGGCACTGCTCTCCTTGGTTTTTATTATTACTATGTATATGGGGAAAAAAGGATCTGGGAACTGCCTCTTTTTATGTGTCTGTTCCAGCTAATGAGCTTCTGTCTGGACTAATGAACCAGGTGCGTGGGTCCCCCTTCTGGTTTCCTCTCAGCCTCAGCCCCCAGCTGGGAGGAGGTGAGAGAGTGTTCTTTAGGATAGAACTTAGCTGATGAAGGGAGAGAGATCCTGTAATAATGGAGGCCTTTTGGGTGTGAGCCTTCATGGTTTCAAAGGAGCGCTTTCTGGCCTGTCACAACAGCCTTGTGCAGCAGGGTGTGTCAAAGATTATCACACCTATTTTTCAGATGAGGAAACTGAGACACAATTAAGTGATTTAGGATGGCAGAGCTGAAAAGGATGAGATCACCTTAGCCTGATAGACCCAACTAGAGCTGGAATAGAATTTAGAGACCACTTAGCCCAGGAAAACTCCTTTCTGAGTTCAAATCTGGCCTCAGATGCTTACAAGCTTTATGACCCTGTGCAAGTCATTTAACCCTGTTTGCCACAGTTTCCTCATCTGTAAAATGAGCTGGAGAAGGAAACTGCAAACTGCTTCAGGATCTTTGCCAAGAAAATATCAAATCTGGCATCAGACACTTACTGGCTGTGTGACCCTGGGCAAGTCACTTAACTGTGTTTGCCTCAGTTTCCTCATCTGGAAAGTGAGATGGAGAAGGAAATGGTGAAGCACTCCATTATCTTTTCCAAGAAAACCCCAAATGGGGTCATGAAGAGTTGGACATGGCTGAAAGGACTGAGCAACAACCAAAGCTCAATGACCTAATTTTATAGCTGGGGAAGTGAGGCTGAGAGACGTGGCCATTGTGTTTGCAGCAGCATTCAAACTCAAGTCTTCTGGACTCCAGTCTAGCACATTGTACTTACTGTACAAAAAGGGAAACTGAGATGCAGGGAGAGGAAAGGATAGGACTGTGGGCTGAAAGGGACGTTAAAATAAAAGCAAAGTCATAACTAGAAGGAAACACCTCAGATTTCTCATTTTACAGAGGGCAGAATGGAATCCCTGAGAAGGGAAGTGATTTGTCCAAGGTCAAGCAGGTAGGTTAGTTTCAGCGCTGGAACTTGGACTAAACACAGGTTATTCTGCCTGGTAGTCCTGGACTTTCCCCACATCATCGCGGCCTGCCCTACCTAAAGTCAGTGGGGAGTCAAGACAGGGCTATCTATGTACACCTGGCTACTCGGGTCCTGCAGGGAAGGATGCCTAAATTGACTCTATCTGGATCTATCGACTCCATCCCTTTGCTGTCCCCTTTGCTCCAGACCTGGATTGGCTTTTCTGTGCCTGACAATGCTTTCAAGATGGGGAAGGGAGAAATCAGGAATATTGGTAAAAATTGGCTAAACTGGCCCAAAGTTGATTCTTTAAAGGGTGGAGGAAGGCAAGCTCAGGGCATGTTCTTGTAGTTTGGGGCTGATGGCCCTTACCAATAAAAACCACTAGTCTTGTCTAAGAGTTCCGTCCCCAGGCAAGAATGGGTTTTCGAAGCACAGGAGAGGTTTGTGTGGTCGGTAATCTGACCGGCCTAAGCCAGCCCTCCTCTATTTTGCAACCTGGTCAAGAGCAGCCTCCCAGAGCCCAAGTTGAACCGGCATCTGGATACCTTTAAGAGCCGTCGGCCCATGGGCAGAGCGAAGCGTCCTGTGCTCCTCATTCTCTTTTCTGGGAGCTCTATTGGGCGAGGGGGGCTGGGGACGGCAGAGTATACCTTTGCTATGTCCTGCGCCAAGCCCAAGTGGAGGGGGTCTCTAGCCTTAAACTGAGGCCTTTTGGGCCACTGGATCCCGGATTTCCAGATTCAGAGCAGGGACAGCGGGGATGGGGGGGAGGAGAGCTGCTCTTGGCACTACTCTGGGGCGCAGGGGGCTGGCTGTTCACATATCCCAGCTACCCCTCGGGGACTTCCAGCCTCCGCTCCCGCTCTGACCCCGGGGGCAAACTACGGAATGAGAGAGGGACGCCGGGGCGGCCCTCGGGATGGCTCCTGGAGCTCCGCCCCCCCGCGGAGCCGGGCTAGGCTGGGCTGAACTCGGTCCGGCTCCTCCTCTCTTCGCCGGGGCCCCTCCCCTCTCCCCCTCCCCCTCCCTTCTCCCTCCTCCCGTCTCTTTTCTTCCCTCCCTTCCCCCCCTCCCCACTGCCGCTCAGGGTGGCTGGCTGGCTGCTTCGGACGCCAGAACGGCGGCGGCGGCGGTGGCGGTGGCTGTGGTTGTGGCTGTGCGGAGCTCGGCGCAATCAGGCCGGGATGGGACGGCGTGGGACGGGCGCAGGGACGCCGGCGGGCGGGCTCCACTTGGGCTCTGGCCGCCGCGCACCAACTCCGAAGTGCCAGGGAGGAGCCGGGGGCGCGGGGCGCTGAGCGCAGAGCTCCGAGCCAGAGCCGGAGCCCGAGCCCAAGCCGGAGCTGCCACCGCCGCCGCCGCCGCCACCCTCGCCACCCTTGCCCCCCTCGCCCCCCTCGCTGCTGCTGCGTCTGGGGAGGAGCCGCCGCCGCCGAGGGAGCGCGCAGCCATGCCCACTGGGGCTCGCTAACTGCCTGGGGACGGTCACCGCGCCTGGGCGAGCCGCCGCGGCCACCGGCGAGGGGCGCGCGGCGGGGGCATCCGGAGCCCCTGCCTCCTCCTCAGCCCGTGCTGCTTTCCCCACCTCGCACCCCCAGTGATGCTCGATGAGATGAACGTCCTCCGCTTCGAGGCTGCCCCAGTCGTCACCGCGTCGGCCGGGGGTCCATCCGGCCACTGACCTGCCGCCTTGGCCGCCCCCGGGCAGCCCCGGGCTCCGAGGACCATGCCTCCCCCGGCCCTGCTGGCGCTTCCGAACCTGCTCCGGCTCCTCCTGGCACTCGCCGCGCTCTGGTGCCCAGGTAAAGGTGGCCCATGGCTGGGCGCTTGTGGGCAGGAGAGGGGGTGGTGGAGTTGGCAGTATGTGCTTGTGGGTATGTGGGTACAGGCGCGCGCGCGTGTGTTTGTTCGGGGAGTGTCTGCCCCGCGCCCCGCGTGGCGCACAAAGTTCCATCCCGTGGAGAAGCTGGAATACCCCATCTCCCCATCCCGTGTCTCCCCTTATTCACACTCCAACCCCAGCTCCGGCCCTGGGAGACCTCATTTAGGTCCCGTTGCGTTCCCCTCTCCTTCCCTGGGCGAATGTTCGTTCTTATCCAAAGGGAGCTGGCCCCCTCATTTTGGGGAGAAAGCAAATTCGGCCCTTCTCCCCTAGCAGCTGCGAACCTCCTTTATTTGGTGCGGTGGAGGGGGAGTATGGCAAGGCAGCTCCAGAGTCGCCGTGTGCCTGGAGTGCAGAGGCTGGGGATGAACTTGGGTCAGCATCCCCACAACCCAACGGCCTCCACTCCCGTGGTCTGCCTCCATCTCCTCCAATATCATTAGTGAGAAAAGGGGGTGGGCGTAGGGTATGAGGAAAGGGGAGGTCTGGGAGACCTTTCTCTTTCTTCTTTTCTGGTTTCTCCTGCCTCCCTCCCGCTTTGGAGCCCCCCTCCCCCACGAGGGTTTCTGGCCAAGCAGGTCATAGGCTCCCTCAGAGAAAGCCATCGGCCCAGGAGGCAACAGGAGGAGCCCAGGGCAAGGATGGATGGATGAATAGATGGATGGATGTTTTGAGCAGTGGGTGGCAGCAGCGTCTCTCCTTATCTCTCTGTGCTGGCGCTGCCACTGGGCTCACTCCCCTTGACTTTCCCTGGAGATTTGGGCTGGGGGTGAGAAAGGAGAAACAAGGGATTAAGGCCTGAGGCAAAAGGCATACAGGTTCTTGGTTCCCTCCTGCCCTGACCTCACCTTATCCCCACCTGTGTGTCTGTTTGGATCTTCACACCCCCACAACTCAGAGGGGCTGCCCATTGAACTGTGTGCAAAACAGTCCCTAAATGCTCTCCCTTACCCTGTTTTATTAGAATTCTCAAACATGACTCCCTTCTGTCCCCCATCCCCATTTATATTCGCAAGGTAGCTTCTGACCTACATTGCTCCTGGCTTGAAATAGAGGTGATTTTAGTCTGTAAATCAAAACCCCCATCCCCAGAAAGAGACCGAAACCCACAGGGAAGATAGAAGGCAAAGGATGATTCTATCTCTGCTTTTAATGACGATAATAGTCCTAATGGGAAAATTCCCTTAGTCACTTAGAGAGCTGGCTTTGCTGGGGGCCAGGAACAAATCTGAACAGTTGCCAGCTCTGGGTGAAGGCAGATTAGACTTTTTTTTCCCCCTCCACCTCTGCGTTGGGGACTGATTTCCCCCCCTTCTTTTTAGAGTATACCCACCTTTGGGGAGTTATTTAGCAGGTTGAATTTTGAGACAGCTTATCCCAAAATGCCATCATATTTCCTCCCCCCCCCATTCCTCCTACACCCTCCCTCACCCTCCCACTTTCATAAGAAAGAAACCGGTAAGGCACAGATGGTTTGGGGAGGCTTCTTTTTGGGGATCCATGTGAATTTTCAGAGCTTGATTCTTTCCCTTTCTCCAGGGACACCTTTGTCATCACCTGGGAGAAGATAATAGGCATTTGGTCTCTTAGAAATCCTCACCTCATTTATGGATAAGGAAAAAAAATCCCCCAAACATGTAGAAAGCAAATAGAAAAAACCAATACATCCAACTTTTCTGCTGAATTTGGTGTGATTGCTTGGGAGGCTGGGATGAAAATCTTTATTTTGATGTGACGTGATATATCTGCATGGAAAAAGTAAATCTTTTTTCCTCTGTTGCTGCCCTTAAGTGATGGAGATTTTTTTTTTCCCTCCTCCAACTAGGAGAGAATCTTCTCTCACAGATGTTTATCAGCATTCATCTATAGCTCAGACTAGCTCACTGAGGAACCACAGCTTAACAGGGATGATTCTCCCATCTGCTTTGCTAATAAGCAGTAGAGATATCTATTTGGCTTTGGGCACATATTTCTTTATTTCGCCACTGCCCCCCCCCCCCCCCCGCATGCCTACATCCCCAGAGTGTGCAGAACAGAGGTGGACTCTGGTGTTAAGGTTGCTGCTTCCTTTTTACCTGGAGTGAAGGACCTGTCCCTGAAACAGTACAGTTTACAGTACAGTTGCTCTGACTCAAGCATCTCGATTTCCTCTGTTTTTAGTCTTTTCCATCGGGTTCAGATGTTCTTGAGGCTTATGTGTGGAAGAGAGGAAGTCTTAGTGCCAAGAGCTTCTTGAGAAATTAGGATGGTTCTCCCTTCCCTCCCTCCCCAAAGGAGGAAGAGACTGTTCTTAGTGATGCTTGGCCAAAGTTTTAGTGATGGGCTTTTTTTGAGGGGATGGGGTGGGGGTGGTGTGGGGAGGGTGCTTGGAAGTGGAAGAACCTCAGCTAAAATCCGGTGCTTGTAGATCTGGCCACTTTCCTGAGAAGCCTCCCTCCCCCTCCCTCCCCCTCCCTCCCCCTCCCTCCCCCTCCCTCCCTCGCAGCTGAGCCTCTCAGCATCATGACTGCCTTCTGTGGTGGAGCCCCAGACAGCCAACCTTGGTGTTCTCTGCCTTGGCAATGCCTGCCAGCCTTGCACCAATCCCTACCAGGGACCTGATCAGCACACAGTTTGGTACCTCCTATATTTAGCTCAGCCGAGGAGAAGCTCTTACAGTCATTCTGTAGCTAGCAGATAGGGAAACCAAGCAGGTCTGGGTTTTGATTCCCCACAAGCTCTGTGGGTCTACAGGCAACACTCGAGGGGCTTCCGTGAAAAGCTTTCAGTTTTCAGTTCCAAGTTCTCGTTTAGCCCAGTGGCTTGCTGTCTGGGCATCCTGGAAACAGCCTTCGGTGGGGCTGAGCTGAGCGAGGCCGGTGGCAGGGGAATGCCTCCCGCTCCCGGCTCATTGCACCCGTTGTCTCCCGCTTTGTAATCTCTCCTGCGTGGGTAGCTGCCATGGCAAGAGTAGGGTGGGTGTGCTGCCTTCAGCCTCGAGAGTGTCTCAGGCAAATGAAGGGAGCCTCACTTCCCCCCCCCCAATAGCCAGTGCAAAGCCAGTTGGGGTCTTTAACTTGAGCTCTGCCAGCCACTTTTGTGCCCACCACCGGGGGTGCGGAGGCTCTCACGAACGAGCAGCCCCCCTGCCAAGGTCCTTGTTGCTGCAAATGGACCCAGCCTGGGCCCCCTTCTTTAGCCTAGTATACCGAGTCTCTATTAAATCCAGAGTGGGTGGTGCCCAATTGACAGAGGGGCTGTGTGTCCTATGCTCCAGCCTGGAGCTCAGGGAGGGAGGCACTTAGGGGAAGAGAGAAGGACTTCCCTCAGCCTAGCCTGGTGAGGCCGTCTTTTGTACAGCTGATTCAGTTGTTCTCCTTCTCCCCACCTTTTCATTTTTGAGGGGGTGGGTGAGAGTGGAGAAGAATGAAGTCCTTGGACTCATTTTCATTTGAGAGCTAAGCAGGCAGCCTGGATGGATGGCGTTGATTGGAAATAGGAGGGACTAGAATTGGGGGGCATGCAAATGATGGAGGCCCATACACTCCCAGTGATTTAGTGGTGGGACAGGGAGGTTTCCAGGGTAAATCACTTCCCTTCCCACTGCCAAGCTTGGGACCCCAGGGAGCCAAGTTCTTTATGTGCTGAGATGCTTTGAGGGTAGCAGGGGAGGTATAAGATGCCATGATTCCAGGGGAAAGAAAACCACTCCCCCTTGGCAACATGGCCAGGAAGGTGGTCCCTGTGCCAGTGAGGGCCTCCTATGTCGAATCACAGAATCTCAGGGCTGGAAAGGACCCCAGTGGCTATCTAGTTCAACTGGCACCTTAATAAGAATCATAGAATCAGAGCTCTAGAGCTTGTAGGGACCATTTAGTCTGGTTAGTTTAAACCCTTAAAATTTATTGTTGTTTATTATTTTTTACAGGTGAGGAAATTGAATCAAAGGGCAAGTCACTTCACCCTGTTTGCCTCAGTTTCCTCATCTGTAAAATAAGCTGGAGAAGGAAATGGCAAATTGCTCTAGTATCTTTGCCAAGAAAACCCCAAACAAAGTCACGAAAAGTAGGACATGACTGAACAACTTGTGACCCCAGAGCCAATGCTTTTTCTACTGTCCCATACTTTGATAAATAGTGTATTGATCACTAGACTGTCTGCTTTGTGAAGACAGGGCCTTTTTCTTATTTAAATATCCACAGAAAGAAGTGCAGTGCTGTGCACACAGCAAGCACTCAATACACGTCTGTCCTTATTGAACAGGGGAGGGAGGTGTAGAGCTGGCTGGGCTGTCAGTACACAGGATCACTTACTTAGTACAAGATCCTCATTTTACAGAAGAAACTGAAACCCAGGCCAAGGCCACTCAGCGATTAAGTCTCAAGGTAGGATTGGAACCCAGGCTCCTCAGACGGTAGTGCCTGTGCCCTATCTGTTGTACAGAAGGATGAGGCCCCTCTGTGACATTCCAACAATCTGGTTTCAATTCAGTCCAACAAATGTGAAATGTTTGTTGCATGCAAAACTCAGGGGGTTTAACAAGGACAACAACAGCCACAAAATAGACCCTGCCCTAGAGGAGCCTGCCAATCATTCCACAAGCATTTATGAATCACCGGCTACATGACAGACACTGTCTAGAGATACAAAGACAAAAATGAAACCTCCCCTGCTCTCAAAAGACTTACATTCTATCAAGAGAGTCAACAGGTCCACATCAAACTAGATACAAAATAAATCATAGGTTTTTGGGGGAGAGACGAGGTGGAGCAGTGGGTAGAACGCCAGGCCTGGATCTTTCTGAGTTCAAATCGGTCCTCAGACGCTTACTAGCTATGTGCTCCTGGGCAAGTCACATTTAACCCTGTTTACCTCAGTTTCTTCATCTGTGAAATGAGCTGGAGAAGGGAATGGCCAACCACTCCAGTATCTCTGCCAAGA